AAACCATTCTGTGATTCTATGGCCACTCCCTTCTCTTGTGAGCATTCTGCTCGGCTCTCCCGACAACCGCTGGTGTGTGGTACTGGCGTAGCTCTGTGGGGAGAAGCTGCTGAAGAAAAGGGAGTAGGTGGCCTTGCTCCTGCAAGCAGCCATCAGGACTGCCGTGAGCGACCAGGAGTGCTGGAGAGCTCATGTCCGTGAGCAGGAAGTGTGTGCTGCAGCCCCTCACTGCCTCCTGGTATGAGGTGTTCACGCCAGCTACCATTGACCATCAGCAGAGCTCTTGGGTCACCACCAGCACGGGGTTACACCTTGATTGCTGTGCTGGTGCAAATGATTAAACGTTGACTTTTCTCTGCGTTTACTTGTTCAAGTCCACTGCTACTGGAATGAGATTAGTGTGCCATGGTCAGCCTTCTAAGAGCAGCTGAGAGCAGCTACCAGCTACACAGGACTGGGATGCCGGAGTGTTGTATGTTACCGTGGGTGGGAGAACGCATTTGGTGAAAGGTAGCTTTTGAGCTGTACTGCTGCGTCCTGCGTGCATCACTAACTAAGAGTTCTACATTACTGCTTTGTCCCTACAAAGCTGTTTGGTGAAATGTTATATTGTATAATGAAATTATGTGGTAATATTGGCATAGGAAGATAGGCCTAATGAGGTAAAATATGGTTTCAAAGCGAAGTACTTGCTAAGCACATCCCAGAGTAAAGGCACAGTTGTGCACATACCAAGGTACTTGCAATGATGCATTTTACTCCTCTGAATTACAGATCTATCTATTAGCAGGCTATTTATGTTACAGTTTGGGGCACACTAGGAAGAATGTGTGTCTGTGGCTTGCCAAGTGAGTCACTTTGGTCTCTTGGTGACTTGCCAGGTAAGCCTCCGTGCCAAGTTTAGTTTCTCATGTGATCAGGAAGTGATAGAGGAGGATGCACTGAGGACTTCCCCGGCTGTCTCCCCTCAGCACCCAGGCAGGAATGTGGCAATTGTCTTGGGCTTTAAAGAGTAAATATTTGAAGGCGTGTAGAGCTAAATCTCATACAGAAATCGCTGGGGTTCTCTTTGAACAACTGACACTTCCCTGTTTCATATCCTTCTTTCAAGCTCAACTAATCAAGCACCTTTTTTAAAGGAATTACCCCATCCCTGAGCATGTCTGCTCTTAGAAAAGCTTCCTTAACTCATGGCATATACTCCCTTGTGCTTCTCTCTGTATCTATTAGCGTCAGTATTTCATTTCCCTCAGGATTATTAGTGTGGAATCACATACTGAACTTTCTCCGCTGGGCAAAATTTGCTATTGTACCTCTGAAGCAAACTATCAGTGCTTCTGCAGCAGTGGCAATGGTGAGTGTCAGATGAAATGGAATTGTTGTCTGAACTTCCAGCTTCTTTTTATATGGCTTGGAATGAAGTAAGGAAGGTGGTCCAAGCTGGTTGCACATGGGGTAACTTCAAGTTGTAGTATTGTTTCAGTGGGAAATAGTCACAGTATTGTTCCTCTGAATTGTTCTGAATCCTCCTGTAAGCATGATATGAGGGTCTCGAGGGCTGATGTTCAATTTTGATTTAAAAGACTTAAATTGAGTCTGAAGAGGTGTGTTTTTTATGCTCAGGTGTGCATGTATACATATGTAGGACCAGCCATCAGAAAACAGTATTTTCATACAGTAACTAACTGTCACATGGAGTTGAAAATCAACTTTTTACTACTTTTTATGGAAAGAAAGCTTTCACATAACACAGGTGATGTTTCATTTCTGTATTTAATACATGTAGAAAACTTTACATGCTATCAGCCACTGTAAATAATATATGGACTTCATTCACTTCTGAAACATGGTTGGATGGTAAATTTTACAGGTGGTGTTTGTCCTAGACTTCTTTTTATTTTCTTTCATTGTGAGTGCATGTTTCTTACTTGTCTACTTTTGGGAAATATCTTTGCAGTTGGACAGTATACCTAGGGTAGAAGCTCTTTAAAAGGAAGAACATGGACTTTTAACTTGCCAAATATGTCTTGCATGATTTTACTTGGTAGGATGTCTGTGTCCCTGTGTGGTGGTTGGTGCTTTATGAAAACCAGCTGTCACCTTGGCTCTTCAGGCTTTCGAGCCTGGTGAGTTTTGCTGCTGCTTGAAACCCCTCAGCACTCTGTCAGTAAATAAACAGTGGGCCTGCACAGCTATATTTGAGCAATCCCAGACTTGGCACTTCAGTTGCCAGAAGACAGAAGTATGTCTGCTGGTACACATACTTCATTTGATCCCATGTCAATCATCTACTTAAATTTATAGGACTTTGTTTTCATTTTTAGCCTTTTAGTACTTTTAGAGGGTCTTGACTTCCGTTTGCATTCTACCTGAGCTTTAAAAGGTGAATGAATTTAACATATCCAGGCTGCGAAGAATCTTCTCTGGGGTGCTTTTGACCACTTCCTGCTACGTTACCATGTCTGTCTATGGGACCCCAGAAAGAATACATTTAAAAATTGTGTTCTCCTTAATATGCCTTACTGTGTTCTACTCCTTCGCATCAGCCTAATGCTGCAGTATAGAAAACGTGGATTAGCCTGCTGTCCAGTAGCATGAAGAAATTCCCTGTCCATGTAGCAAAGCCTGCTGAAGAACTGGAATGGCCATTCTTCATTTGGCCTTCCGTGCCTCTTCTTTCCTCACTACCTCTCTTTTTTAGCTTCTTTATAAAAACCAAAAGCTTGATGGATTTTGTTTTTTCTTAAGGACAGGTATGTTAAAAGTAAACATTTACAGTTTGCAGCCGTTTGCTGTAGGCCGCATTTGTTTCAACAGCAGCACAGAAGCTGAAGCCCTGTGTCGCCAGGGCCTGGGGAAGAGGACGGCTAGAAATAAAGGGAGATGCCGACACAGCGCGTGTTTCTGAGGCTGAGAAACAAAAGCGCAAGTGAAAGTGAAGCTGCCACTGGACGTAAAGTTTATCGCTGTTGCTGGGGAATAGCGCCCGCCTCCTTCGGGACCGCTGTGAACTTGGCCAGACAAAATGGGTGGAAGGGCAGGAGGTGGGGAATGTCTGCATCCTATTATGAATTGGAGGAAATGACTGTCTGCGCTCCGTGTGCCGGTGGGCTTGGAGTATCCTGCTGGCGGGCTGCTTAGTGCCATAGGATACGGAACAAAAAGTGGTGAATTGTCAGCTTTGGTGTTTAAAATAACTACTAGGGATGAGAAGTTCTTTAAAAATGTGCTGTGGGTTTTCTGTTGGCTTTCTTAAAACTAACTGGAAACTTTCTGCTTTCTTTCAGGAGCATTTTTTTCTCCGAAAACATTGCTGCTAAAAAGCTTCAAACGGGAGAAGTAAATCCAGTCAACTTGTCAGGACACTGGCTCTGTGTAAAAGTGCTTTCATGAGGTAACGTTGGGCCAAAGTCAACTTCTCTTTCTCCTTTGTAAATCTGCAGCCAAGCAATGGGCCAGAAAATCTCAGGGAGCATAAAGTCTGTGGATGTGAGGGAGCCCCCTTATAGACCTGTTAAACGAGAGCTGAGAGGCCCGGATTTTTGTAAGCCGGCACGACTGGACATGCTGTTGGATATGCCCCCTGCCAAGCTGGAGGTCCAGTACAAACATGCTTGGAACAATGAAGATCGCTCCTTGAATATATTTGTAAAGGAAGATGATAAACTGACTTTTCATAGACATCCGGTTGCCCAAAGCACAGATTGCATCCGGGGCAAAGTCGGCTACACGAGGGGCCTGCACGTCTGGCAAATCCACTGGCCCACGAGGCAACGAGGAACTCACGCCGTGGTGGGCGTCTCCACGGCCGAAGCTCCGCTGCACTCGGTGGGATACACGTCGTTGGTTGGCAGCAACAGTGAATCGTGGGGCTGGGATCTGGGGCGTAACAAACTCTACCACAACTGTAAAAACCAGCCTGGGGTCACGTATCCTGTCTTTTTGGAACCGGATGAGTCTTTTGTACTCCCAGACTCCTTACTGGTGGTTTTGGATATGGATGAAGGGACGCTTAGCTTCATGGTAGATGGACAGTATCTTGGAGTGGCCTTCAGGGGACTAAAAGGGAAAAAACTTTACCCCATAGTCAGTGCAGTTTGGGGGCACTGTGAAATTACAATGAGATACATCAACGGACTTGACCGTAAGTGTTACCATACTTTGTCATTACACTGTCTTTCAACTTCTCTCATGTAGGATTGTTTGTGTTGTGAGGAGGGTGCTGGTTGGGAGAGGACTCTCCACTCTGAGTAGATTGCATCCCGAAGATACTGGTTCTGGGCAGTAACCATCAGCTGTGTCTTGCAGTGAGAGAGTGGATTGTATAAAAACACGTTCCCTTTAGACAAGCAGAGTGGCAAGAAATCTGTGTCCAAAGAAGGTGAACAGAGGGAGAAAAAAGATCTTGAGCAACTTCCTGGGTATATTTAACAGTAAAACTCTTGTTTACTGAAGGATGTGTTTTAAATCTCAAATAGGATTTGTGGATCCTGTAAAAATATCCTGTAGTAGTGGGAGCTCTTACATGGTGTGCATAAACATACTTGAGTTCAGGTCAGTAGGCTGCCTTTCCACAGTTGCCTTTCCAGGACCCTCAGAAGCAGCTGTAGATCCCCAAGAATTTGGGAGCTCAGGTCAAATATTGCTTTCAGCAGATTTTCTGGAAAGAGAGCTCTGTTCCTTAGTTCATTCCAGAAAGTGCTGTCGGGGTATTTTCTTCTCCAGAAATACAGGTTTTTGGATAAGCCCTGGCTGGTTTTGATCTAAAGGGGTAATATCAAAGTAAATTGTAGTGAGGAGCAGCATGTTGCTGCTGTGACCTTGGAGAAGTAGCCCACCGGAAGGTGAGTTGCAGAACTGTCCTGTCCAGTTCTCGGTGCTCAGGAGCACGTGTGCTCTGCCCGGTCCACGCGCAGCACAGCGGACGTCCGGCCGTGCCCGGCTATCCGCGGTCAGTTTATCAGCCCCAGGGTGGAAGGCTGAACGAGGTGACAAGTGGAACTTTGGTCATGTTTAGGACTCTCTCTGAGCCACAGGAGGAACTATGAGTATAAATACATAGATTCAAGAAAAAATAGATGACTGGAACAAAATTTTCATGGTTTTGGGGCTTTGTCAATGGAACTTGGTCTTGTACACTTGCTGTTATTTTCTTTTACAACACCTACCTTTCAATGAGTAATTTCTAAAGGAATTTACTGTTCTTTTTGGTTAAGATGGGGTGGTCTAATTTTTCTTCTGGCAGAAATTAATTCTCTGCTCATTAGCCTTACACCTGACATACCAAGTAGAAACGTAATTAAATAGTTTGACGCTGTTTCAGATTGCCTTTTCATAAACAGCGGTAATAAGCACTGGGGGGAAGAATCTTTATCCACGGAAGCCCTGCACGTTATTGCAGCCAGATGCTAAATGGCAACTTCCCGAGTGCTCTCGTACCGGGGAGTGTCAGAGGGTCGTGAGTATTTTGCCATTACGCAGACATGGCAAGGAGTAGTGGTGTGCTGACAGCTGGGGCCTGTCTTTTTTTTTGTTTGAGAGTGGTGGGGGAGTTTTGCAAACTGACTATTTGTGTGTGAAAGCAGTTTTTATAATACTGGGAGTATCTGCCAAACTAAGCAAAGTACAGCTCGGCTTGGTCCACCACGTCCACACACAGAATTGTTCTGCATTCCTCCTGTAGCCTTCACAGGGCTGCTCAAGGGAGCTTGGGAGAGATGAAAACACGGGAGGAGGATGTGAATGAGTTTGGTAGAAATTAGAAAATAAAAGGGGCTAAGTGGAGAAGGGATAGCTGTGGTCTGCGAGATGGCAGAGAGAAAAATTCCCATCCGGTTTCTCATGGGATAATTTTGCTGGAAGAAGCAGGATAGCTTCCTAACCTAAACTATCCCTGAGAAAGTCAAAGTAGTTTGTGTGGGTTTGTTTCTTTTTTTCTTTTTAAGTGTGAATCCATGGCTAAAAGTAAACTTGTAAACTGAACTTTTCTGTAGGCCTGAGTGTTAAACTGATCATGTGAAGAAGTTTAAAGCCAATTTGCCGTGGGGCAGTTTGACATACTGGAATCACAAAACTTGCTATCACATGTTCACTGATCTCTTACTCTCCTGCAACAAAAACAGCATTCAAGAAACCAAAGTAGCTTGTTTAGCTGGTGCTCTAAAGCAGACGCCTTCTCTTCTCTGCTAGAAGTGTTTCTATCCAGTCAGCCCTCGTGTAGCAGCGCAGGTCTGGTCATGGCTCTCTTCACGTTCACTCTCGTAGCACTTCATGACAGGGTTTTATTGTTGTTCTTGTGAAAATTGGGGTAGGTCTTCAAGAACAGTGAGATGCCTGTGTTGCCTTCCCAAATTGAAATACATTCAAACATACATGTGCGAGGAGCTGGTTTTGTTTGCTTTCTAACCCTACAAATCACCATTTTTGTTCCCGGAAGCATCTGGGACTGCTGATGGCAGCTTTCAGTCAATCTGGCAATAGCACCTTCGCTGTTCTGGAGGCCGTGCCTGGTAACTTGCTGCGCAGTGATCGATTGGTCCCGGTCAGCGTGCACACCGCAGCTTGCAGTGCTTGGGGATGTGGTGTCTTACAGGGCAAACGGAGACCTCGGCTGCAGGGATTCCTAGCCTTTGCAATACTTGCTGTTTAAATAGAAGACCTCTGAATACTTTCAAGAACCGAGTATTTCAGTTGCCTGGCAAAGAGTGAAAGGCAGGCATGGAATAGCGAAAGGATTAAATGGTGGGCTTGTGCAGCTGCAGTGAACTTCAACATACGCCGTATGTTAATTACTGCATAGATGGTATAATCATAGATGGATAAGGCTGCAGGTCAAAGATCACGAACCTGCGTGCCCTCTGCACTCTGGATGTACCTTCTAGGATAACGCTGTTGTTACGATCAACTGTAGTTCTTCCAGCTGCATCTGATACCCAGGGCATTCTGCTGTCAGAGTCTGCTTTGAGCATCCCATGCTGACGTGCTGTGACTTTCACAGTTTTTTCACTCACATTTGAGGCAGAGTTACAAATATTTGTCAGGGATTGGGAGGGAAGGCCAGGGGGACAGGATGGAGAGGGCTGCTCATAAGCACATCAAGTTCTTCCCAGGACAGACTTATTGATCAAATACTATCTGTATTTACCACACTGACATTTGTCCACTGTCTATGTTTTATGGAATCTTACATCAGACTTCTGACTCATTGCCTATTGCAATATTTTGAAAATCCAAATAACGTAAATGCAGTGTATGCTATTTTGTAGATGCTCTTTTCATCAGGGTACATGCCCGCTTACAAAAAACTAAGCTATTTTTATCTGATGTCTGATGAGGGGTCCTGAAGGCTATTTATAGACAAGAACAGAGAAATAGCAAAATGTTTCTGTATAAATGTACTTTGTACTGATACAGTAATACTTGTGTGTTTAAACAAAGCAGTGGGAGGACAGTGTAACAGTGCTGTGGTGGAAAATGCGGTCGTGGAGTAGGTGAGTTGAAGGCAGTGGTTTATTTTGATTCTGAAAAATACCCGAGAGAATAGTTGGTATTTCTGGAAGTCGAAATACTTTTTATAAGCCTGCATTACAGGTCTGGCTTCACCCTGTTCTGAACTGGGGAGGATAAGTAAAGCAGATCATCTGCATTCTGCCTATAATAAGTGATCCAAAGACACAGAATCTGTTAATGCAACTCATAAGTATGGAATTTAGAATTTAATATCTTCCTAGGCAAGGTGAAGGCAGAAGGAGGCTGCAGAAAGATGATTCCCCCCTCCCCAGCCACCCTTGTGTGATAGAGCTGGTTGAGATGCAATACTGAGTGTTGGCAGGAGGGTTTGTGGGGCTCTGCTGGCCTTGGGGACTGTCCTACGTGCATGTGTCAGCACAGCACGCTCTCACGGGTGTCACGAAGGACCATCTGCAGGTGTGCATCAGCACTGGCCTTTCTGGCCATCTCTAAAAATGCCGGCTGGTAGCACTTCCAGCTTTCTTCGTCCCGTAACACGTGCTCCCACTGAAAGTGCAGTGCTGGCGGCTAGAGCTGCTGCCTTGGGGCGAAGCATCTGGGTGGGATACATGGGAGTGGGATGTGTCCTAATTAGAGACACCATCTCCATGTGATCAGGACAGTTCTAAAGCAAGCTACAACTTGCCAAACTCTTGCCTTAAAATCTTGACTGTTGGCCATTTGCGCGAAGGAAGGGTAGGTCAGTGTTTAAATGAGCTCTGAAAGTCTTGAAATCACTTGTGAAAGGAAGGTACTCTGCATTACCACATGTTGTGTAGGCTACAAGAACTGAAAAGTTAAAAGTTGCATCTCGCTATTTCCAGTTTATACGTTTCTGGTTATAAATCCTGAAACTCTTTTTTTAGAGATGACTAAATTTGGAAGATCTTGAGGCAGTGCTGCCCCACTAACTTTCCAGTAATAATGTCTGATGTCCAGCACAGTCATGTTTGACTTGTAATTTCTTTTGCCTTTTTAAGTTCCAAAGAACTCCTGTTCTGGTTGAAAGCAGACTGTAAGACTTTAAGACAAACAGTAGTATCTGTCCCTGGGCTGCCTGCAGCAAGGTGATCCTCTTGGCCGCTGCCCGCGCACCCCCAGCCCAGCAGGGAGAAATCTTGGTCTTGTTTGGCATTGCAGACGTGGGGAAGGAGGGGAGGGCTCAGGGTGCACCCCCTCTGCCAGTACAGCTGCCGAAGTTTTGGGATGTGGGATCTGTGCAAGTCTTTTGCTCTCAGCCTTGCGGAAGGCCACAACTTAACTCGTGAATCACCATCAGACCTTAGGATGCACGTGTCTAACCTTGTGAAATAAGGATGATGTTTGAGCTAAAGTAATGCATTTGGAGCTATGCACAACAGCTTTCCTCTTTCCTACCGTTCTCGGTGCATTTTCCTTCGCGTCGGTCTGTCGCTAACATACCACAAATGCTGATTATAAATATGGACTCTTCCCCTTGGAGGCCTCTTTACCATAACCAAGTCGAAATGGCAGTGGTGTTAACTGCCAGGAGACATATATAATCTCTCATCAGCCTCTCTGGGGTTTTCCCCCAAATGGTTTTCAATTAAAATTTTTAAATGGAGATTTTTTTTGTTTAGAGAAACCAGTTCATTTTTTATGATAGTTATGCAA